ACTCTTGAACTTTCCTATTCGTGCAATAAAGTAAACGCAGCAGCTCTTTTCGAGAAATGGAGTGCTTTTTTTTTCCACAGCTTTCACGAAAGAAAAAAAAAGTACTAGTGGTAGACAGGGTGGTCTGCCGGTAGGTGAATGACCGTGATAATATACCATATTGTTAGTCGCCCATCTATTTACAATGTTTTTTTGTAGCAGAAGTAGGAGTCATGACATGCGAATAATTGCTTTCTTCGTGTGTCGTTCATCAACATGTATTGAATGAATGCAAGCAAGCCTCACTCCTATTAAGGTGAAAACCACATATCACAAGGGCACCATGCGATGCGCAAGCCGCATGGTGCCTGTTTTTTCTTAACTGAAAAACCTCATGTCAGTCGAGAATAAAATTAAGGTCATACAGGAAAAGAGTAAAATAAGCATGATATCTATTATTAACGTTCCTTGTGCACTAATAACAATTTCCTGAATTCTTTCTCTTTGCCTTCAGGACACCACCCCAGTGTCAGGATGTACCTTCTTGCCTCCGTCCTGTAGGCTTCATGCAACTTGGCCCTGCGCCTCAAAAAGTTACCGACTCCGGCCTTAGATGATGAGTGATCAAACGCGAAAAGTGATTCATGGCGTCAAGACGAATGATACAAAAACATCGTCATTTAACGACGTCGCTACGACTTCCCATGCAGACGTTGTCACGTTACATCATGGCTCGGTCACATATATAGATGGGCCGATTTCAGAGACACCGAAAACCAGAAAGCTTGCACTGCTACCGCTGTCGGAGCACTTGCCGAACTAGGCTATAGGCGCAGAAATACTTCGAAGGCGCAGTTATCGATACCGTCGACTGGGAATAAAAGCGAAACACGGAAGAATGAATTACATTCGGGTCTCCTTAGGCGAATAGGTAAAAGACAATGGTAATTTCACGCCGGCTCTAACAGCCGGTTCTTTATTATTTGGGATTCTGCAGAATAAGACACGGGTAAGAGAACAGTGAGAGCACCAATGTAGTAGCAGTGTTCTAGTCATTTTCTTGCTTGTGTCTTCGTCTTCTCGCGCAGTTTAAGAGAGACAATTGGCGGACCACGAGTCCGAGACGCTGGGGGGACCAAGCTGCATTGGGTAGGGTGCTCTTTCGTTCGGAGGATCAGCAGAGTTTGAGAACTGGGTCAAACGCGGGCTGCGTGGGGCTCAAACACACGCGGTGCCACACGGGAGTGTCGTTTTTCACTGGGAGATCTGGTGTGGCCAACGAAATCCCGGATTGGGAGGTCTGATTGCGCCAAGTCCAATCTGCCAGTGAAACGCGCGAATACCTCGCGGGAGGCCGTTCCGAAATAAATTTAGCTGCGCGTGTATAGCAAGTGTCGCGCCCTTCTTATCCATCTTGTGCTTGTTAAAAACTGCGCTACTTAACCTTAGCGGTAAACTGTTCTTGTGTTGCGCGGGTAAATATATATACGAGCACCAGGGAATCTCTCCGTCTGTGCGTCGGTTGCTGCTGCTTGGCGCGCGCTCATCGTGAGACAGCAGTTCTTTCGCAGCATGCAGCGAATGCAGACATTTTTGCAAAGCTATAAGCCCACGCACAATGACGGAAGTGACGTATGCTGCTCGTCGTACTTGCGTCCGAATACGCGACTTGGCGGCAGATCAGTGAGCTCAATCAACCTCGGGGCGAGTTGCTCTGAAACTAACAGTGAAAAGCGTGGACCCACTTTAAATCTACCAGTGAATTTCGAATTGGTCGCTACGGAGCAAAATAATAAGAAGAAAACTTACTCCAGATCTACCAGTGAAAAACGCCATGATATTATGTGAAACAGGAGGCACGCTGCGACGTGGTCCGCGCTCCATCTGCGTTGTTCTGGTGGCGAACAAACACGCCTGGCAACGGACCAACGCTAATTCTCAATTTTTGGGTGCAGATTGCTTGCGCTGACGCTACTCAAACCACCATGCTGGTGAGCGGCGTGACACGCGAAAGGTTTGCGACGTCACGCGTTGATTTTATCCTTATATTTCTTGCAATTTTTTTTGAAATCAAGATGGGAGCCCACAGATGGAAACAACGTAGTGAGATAATCAGGGTGAACAGTGGAAGTGCCTCAGACAGACTGGCTGACGTTTCGATAGGAGTACCTATATTTCTCAAAGGCGCCATGTCATCCTTGGCGTGGCAGTTTTAATGGTGTTAGTAGTGACGTAATCTCCCTAGTAGAGACGCGTGTCTCTGCTGATAATGGCCATCTGAAAAAGAAAAAAAAAGAAAATCTTGAAATGAAGCAAGGACTGCACTGCTCTGCTTTATAGGTTTCTTTTTTTTTTCTTTTCAGGCGGCGATTATAAGCAGGGACACGCGCCACCACCACGAGATGACGTCACTACTAACCTCTTCAAAAACAAACACGCCAAGGATGACACGTTACCTTTGAGAATGATAGGTCCTCCTATCGAAACGTCGGCCAGTCTGTCTTGATGATCGATGTGTGCGGTTTAACGTCCTAAAACCACCATATGATTATGAGAGACGCCGTAGTGGAGTGCTCCGGAAATGTCGACCACCTGTGGTTCTTTAACGTGCACCCAAATCTGAGCACACGGGCCTACAACATATCCACCTCCATCGGAAATGGAGCAGCCGCAGCCGGGAATCGATCCCGCGACCTGCGAGTCAGTAGCCGAGTACTTTAGCCACTAGACCACCGCAGCGCAGCGGCCAATCTGTCTGAGGCACTTCCACTGTTCACCCGGATTATATGTACCATTGCAACTTTTTTGGTTATTGACGGATACATGATGATGGCATTCTGGCCACATTGTTGTTATATTGAAGCAAGTCAAGCGCAGTGTAATATTGCTTCATCTACGTCATCAAGGCCACCACGTTGATGAGTGAGCACTTTACGGGGCTGTGACCATGACGTCAGGTGCAAGCTATCTACAGTAACAACACGATCGCAAAAGTGCAAGCCTTCAGCTTCCATTCTGCTCATGTGTCCTGGTGACTCGCAAAGTAACTTGGGACCCCAATTTTTAAGGTCTCCGTTATCTGCATCGGTCGCGATTCTGAACCATGGAGAGTGAGTGAGTAACTTCTCGCTCAAAACCAACGTCACCGACACCAGAATTTCTGCAAGATGTGCTCTTTAAACGATGTCGCGTTAAAAAGCTCGCTAGCCAGCCGTAGTAAAACTTGAATTTGCAAATACCCGGAAGCATATAGCCTAACCAAACTTGATTCAGAGAGACAGCGATTTTGCGTAATCGGTAAGTGCTCTCGGAAGACGTTTGCATTTGCGAAAGGTGGCTTTTAAACAGTCGTCGCACACTACGCATAACAGATCGGTACTCACCTTGAAGCAACGGGTTTAAGCAATGCAATTCTTTTGCACATTCCGCAACTGTTTTCAAAATATTTCCAAGGCGGCTAATGCCGAGTCTGCTGTGGACTTCACATTGCACGTGTCTTCTAGCTGCTTCTGCGGCCCGAACGCACGCACACACGCATGCCCGCAACGTCGACTTTCAAATGACCTTCTCATGTCACGCGTTTTTTGGTTCTATTCCGTTCAACGCTGTAGCGCGGCAGACATAAGTAACGCGCTTAGCATTTCGCTTTCGCTTTCATCGTGACCTGGCTTTCAACGTGCGTGTGATTTATTCCGTGTATATTACGTGCGAAAGCCACCGGCATTCATTACGCAAGCCGAATGCGGACGCCCCAGGAAGAGTTATATGACGCGCGTTTTGCTCCCCGTTGACTCTCTCTCTGAGCCGTCAGCCGTGACCGCCAGCCCGTGACGTAATGCTCAACGGCGACACGGTGTCGTACGCGCGAAGGTATTACATTCTTGGCTCCGTTGCTTGATAATTAATGGTAACAGAGTCACACGAGGCAGAAGTAACGAACATTAATCTCATTTTATTTCAATAGAGGCATTCAAAGAAAAAAAGAGTGATACTGAAGGGCGTGCATCGTGCATGCGCTGTACAGACATAATCGGAAGAGCCGCGTCGAACTGTCATTATTCGACTAGTTACAAGTGTTGCGCACGCGTGCATAGAGGAATATAGTGAATTTTCAAGAAACGGACGATTAGTTATAATGTAGCGTCAAGAAATTCTATGTGGGAGTGGACACGACCACGTCCTTGAAGTGCATGTGGTTCATATGTTCGCCATGAATAGAACATGGAGGCAAATAAAGAAAAGACAGGAACGACGACACATGTCCATATCTGACAACATAAGTGTCCCTAAAGAAATCACCAGAATACATAAAAAAGTATATCCATAATGCAACTAGTTGACACAATGCTCCCCCAGGTGGTAAAATGTTTCAGGGGTAAGTCAATACCAGACTGCATGCACTGGTGAAAATATGACCCATAGAAAGGAAGGAAATTTTTTTAACTCGAGTGACACGTTCCAGCAGCCGTTTCAAAAGGACACTGGCGTGATTGGTGCTCCCGCTAGGCCAATGTATGAATTCGTTGTGTTCTGCGCACGCGCACTGGCATCAATCTTCCCAAAGCTAAGCTCAGTTGCAACGTGAGAGCGGCAAACGTATCATTGAGTACATAAATGTCCTAGCAACCAGACCAATTTCAATTTTTTTTTTGTTGTTGTGCAGAAGTTTGTCCGAAATCTTTAGGTTACCCTATTTTGACGCAGGATGAAAAAGGCGGTGTTGCAAAGTTCGAAACACAAAAAACAGCACTGCCTTTATTATGCAGTATGTTCCAACTAGTCCCTACACAAGCTCATTTACCTTGACACAGACCATGCCGGACTAATCACTTCGTCGTTTAAAAGAGAGCAAAAAAAAAAAACATTTATGCCCTGCGGAGCCATTGTGCACTTGAATATCTTGTACGTAGGAGTTAAGGTGTGAAACTACTGCCACCCGGTGATTACGAAACGGCGGCTGTAACTGACGCGAACCTGGATGAGCGAGACAGCGTGACCTCCCACCCCCGATGACACCGCGGAAGGTGTCACCCAGTAGCTGCGTCCGTGGAGACTTTTTCTTCCTTTCGTAGTTTCTTTCCTAATTGCGCGGTCAGCCTGAACGCCGGTGTGGTATTGGGTGAAAAAGTGACGAGGGGTCGTCAGGGAGGAGGTGTCTGAGAAGGTGTCTTCTCGGGTATATATAAGGGGAGCCGCCACGTTTGGAAGAAGCATCGCTCGATCTTCAGTACCATCGCACCTTCCGTGACGTAACCGAGTACTTCGTTCGGCCAAATCAAAATGGTAAGTTAATCTACAGCGTAGCCAAGTATTAGATTTAGAAAGTTGGCAAACCATGTTGTTTATCCTAATACTCGTATGACAACGTCACAAATTTCTACAATATTCCACCACATAGAACATAGCTGTACCTTATTTTTTTCTAAAGTACGGCCTTCTTGCGGATGGCTTAAGCAATGGCGCGTCTGGCTACACGTGGTAAGAAAATCACCGTAAACAGAACCGAAACCAAATTGAAAGGATAGGGAAGGGATAGGTATCTTTTCGGTCAGCGATTACGAAATTAAGCAACGAAACATCCTGAAAATCAGGTTTCTTTCTGTGAAGCTCGCCTAATTTCGCTTGATGACTTTGTGCAACAAACGGTTGAGTAAAAAAATTTATCGTTTTTCTCAACCATCTTTCACCTTTAGGGCTTTCGCATAACATTTTAGAAAGATGCGATATACCTGCTTGAAGGTTTCCAGTGATTTGCTTTTGCATGGCGGATTGACAAGTTTAGGCTGCATCCTAAAACGACCTCATCGAAATTACTTTGAAACTATAGATTCATACCACGTACTAGGGCAAACTTTATTCTCTAATCTCCACCTTTACTTCTACATAAACCCGTAGGAGCTTATCTCGTAGGTTTGTGCTACAAACGGGCACTTAACAATTTTGCCTTTTAAGGTTAAGTGCCTCATACGTCAACCAGTTCAATGTCATCGACGTCATTGTCTGTGTGCGAAAAAGAACACACCTGTGGATGCACAAAATGAAGATTTTGGATAGGCAATAAAAGCTGAAACTTTTGCGACATTTCTCGGGGCAGTTCGTGCAGGCAAGTTTAGGTGATTATGTCGCTACGGAAAACGAGTAAATAAGGGTCAGGGTGGCAATGGAACGGACGGTTTCCGTAACGTGAACATCATGCAGGCATCTAAATCGCAACAATGGCTCGGTTGACTCAAGCTAAAGAAAGGGGACCTAGTCCCCATTCGGTGCTCTTCAGCTGGTGCTCTTGGCGTCGATGCGAAGCGTAAACTTGCTTCAATTTTTGCGTAAAGTTTACTTTCTCATATCGATTTCCGCAGAAGTGACTTGCGGTGGCTGTAACGCGTGCTATTCTTTTACACTGTTTCGTATTCTTCCAGAAGTCCATGATCCTTGTCTTCACCGTTTTGGCCGCCTGTTGCGCCGTGTCGGTTCGTGCCGGAGCCGTTGCACCACTCGTGGCCCCTGCACCGGCGGTTGCAGCCCCTGTGTTGGCCGCCCCTGCTCCCGTTTTGGCGGCGCCCTCTGCCGTCTCGTACCAGTACTCGCACAAGGTGCATCATCCTGTGGTTGCAGCCTACCCGTACGTCGCGCCACTGCCTTACATCGCGGGTGAGTCTTTCCACACTGGCTAAACTTTAATGCTACAACTCATAAATAACGATGGAAATTAGAGCTAGCTGGTAGTGATTCTGGGTAGTGCCTGCCGTGCTTAGCGCCAGCTCTCGTGCTCCTAAAGTACATTGGTGAGCTGAAGTTTACGGTTTTATCTTCAATTCATTTCATTTATTCAACTTTAAGGGCCCGAAAGCATTACATAAGGCGGTAGGTCGTACATCCAAATTGCAAGTTTCGAAGCAATGTAACAATATGAGGGTGCACACTGATTACAATGAATAAGCAAATAAAGAACACAAGCGGAAATAACACGCATAACAAAACAAAAAAATATGATAGGTGATAAATAAATCCTGGGAGTACAGTAATACAACTATAAACGCAAGAGTTAATGTGCTGTTCTTCAAACATAAGGTGCACTAATTTTGGCGTTAGACAATAGGTGCATGGTGCCGTATGTCCTACACAGACTTGATAGCTCTACCGGTCTGGACATCTACGTAGTTGCAACTTTAATGGATTGTTAACTGTACACCACCTCTATTTATATCTGACATGCTTAGATTTCTTGGAGAACGGTCCTACAAAGCAACTAGCTCTCAATTTTCCTGCACTCATTTTTGAGTACTCAGTTGGGAAGGAGGTACCTGAAGGCAATTTTTCATTTCTTAAAGATCAATTATCTATATTTTTAATGGTGGTAGCTCTTACATGAACCAGTGGTGAATATGTCTGAAAACATTATCTCCTTTTCTTACAGGCTGAGGAATGCTGTGATGAAAAGCCTCGTCAACTGTAACAACGTCCACAAATCTTTAACGGAGTATCAATAAAATGACTCTTTACTGACTTCCAAAGCTGGCGTGTCGTCTTCACGTTCTTTATTGTGTCTGTTACTTAATTTTAGCTTGGTGCACGCTACAGGCGCACGAGTTCGAAACAGGGACACATATTCGGTTATTCGACAAGTGTATCGGCACGTTTTGGTGCCAAATAAAACATGGTACGTCAGTTTACCTGCTCTGACAACATCTACAACCGCGTTACGTCACAGCACAACCTTCTGAACTGGCGTTGCAGGGTAGCAAACCGGACGCTACAATTCTGGTTAACCTCCCTGCCTTTTTTTAGTTTGTTCTTTCTCTTTCTCTCTACAGAAATGTTCTCATGCACACGTAGTGGGCAGATGGGCAAACGCACGATTATATATCTGTAGGAAGAACCCCCACAAGGATGAGTTCCCGAGATGCCCTAATTCTAACTACGGGCAATGGTCTTTTATAAACAATCAAATGCTATCAACTACAGTATGAGGCCCTTCTTGCAACATATGGCAGCATGGGGCAACATGTGGCATGTTGACGTCATGTTTTTCTCTTCGTGAACTCTCTCGCCCGGTTCTCTTTTCCGTTGCACCAGCTGTGTTGCAGATGACACAGCATTCACCTAATTTACGCAAGCAGACAGGGCTCCCATATAGGACGCGCTTCCTCCGATGCTCGCCAGGTGTAGCGCACCTCACCCATCCTCCTTTGTTTCGTCATTTTAGAATGCGCCCTTTTCATCACCGGTTGCCCTTCAGCGTACATGCCGTGCTGTGGTAGGATGAAGTAGCAGGGGTCGTGGGCTCACTTCCGGCGAACGCGTGACGTCACAGACGCTGCAATGAGCCCAATTGTCGTGACTCCTACTGGATAGCTTTGTCCATCCGTTCGTCCCTCCATCCGATCGTTCATCCATCTGTCAATCCGTGAGTCCGTCCTGCTGTCCGTTCGTTCGTTCGTTGCTCACGCTACGTATATCCTGGCGTAGCCGGGCTATGTCGCTGCTAACTTTTTTAAACTCTGGCTCAATATTTATTGCATAAATGAAACTGAATAAAGCAGACTAAAAACATTTTTACCATCGGTGGGGTCCAGAACAAGAACATTTAGGCCACGGGATCATATCCCGGCTGTGGTGGCTGCATTTCCGATGAAGGCGGAAATGTTGTATGACCGTGTGCTGAGATTTGGGTGCACGTTAAAGCAACCTGAGGTGGTCGAAATTTCCGGAGTTCTCCACTATGGCGTCTCTCATAATGATATGGTGGTTTTGGGACGTTAAACCTCTCATATCAATCAATCAAAACCAAGAACATTTAGCTTATACGTATGATGATTCACCATTTAAGCTATACGACGACTGGCATTGCCTCAGCCACTGTCTTGGACATTTGCGTGCATGTAATCTGGAAGCAGAAGCGGAGAGTATGAGGGGGGGGGGGGGGGTGCTTTCGTTCCCTCCGGACTACTTTAGGCTCCCTCTGGCGCTCGTCCGGAATAGTTTTGAGAGCTTGGCTTGGGCTTTTATTCACTGCCAGTGAGCTGTTTGCCATCGTGTCTTGCAGCTATTTCACAGGGGAATATTTATGGCCGCTCTTTTTCCTTTCAGGCTTTTGTCATTCGGATCAGGAGGCAGTGACAAGCAGGAAGTTTGGCGCCGATTCCAATTAAGAACAATGTTTAAGCATGGCAAAAAGTGTTACATTTGCATGGTTCTTGTGCGAAATAAGAACGGGATGCACGCGTGCGCATCATGAAAATGAAAGTTTTTTTTTTATGACGTAACAGACAATTGTTTATTGTTCTATTGTCTATTTCATTCACTCGTGGGCTGCACGATGTACCTAATTCTTCTCTTCATCTGTACTCCTTAGTCTGATTTTGTTATTTCTTTTGTGTATTTTTGCTGCTGCTGTAATCGACTCTTCAAGGCGACCTTTTGTTGCAAATTTTGCCTGAAACCTACTTGTACCTTACGCCCTGTAACGGCCCTCTTGAGGGCTAGCAGTATTAATTTGAATGAATGAATGTGTAGGCTTATGCCACAGGAGCGAAAGAGAGACACGCCTGAACGGTAACCGATGCCAGCCCGGAACGAGAGCCGTGGCTTCACGTGCCACGGCCTAGCGCCTTCTTTATTTTCTTCTGTCGCCATCACGCGCTCTCCGGTTTGCGCGCCGCCCGAACGAGGGCGCTACAGCCCCCCCCCCCCCCCCCGTGTAGACTGGAAGTCGGAATGTGACATGCCGTTTGTGGTATTCCAACGGAAGATCAGTCGTAGATGAGAGGCTTTCTAGGGCGGTCTCCAGGTACGCCGGCTTGAGTCGGTCCAAGCTGACTGTCTCTTCACGGCCGTTCTGAAGTAGAGTGGCAGTTTTGGGGGTGCGGTGAAGGACGCGGAATGGTCCGTCGTAGGCTGGTGTCAAAGGTGGTCTGACCACGTCGTGGCGCACGAAAACATGTGTTGCAGTGGTCAGATCAGGGTGGGCGAATATGGTCTTGTGTTCGGAAGGTCTGGGTGGAGTGGGCCGGAGGTCTTGAACGCAGTCGAGGAGGCGTTGTAGGAATTGCTGTGGCTGGTCTGGTAGCTTCGTTGACGTGAAGAAGTCTCCCGGAAGCCGTAGGAAAGTGCCATACACCAGCTCTGCTGTTGAGCACTGCAGGTCTGCCCGGATGACAGCTCGTAAACCTAAGAGCACCAGTGGCAAGGCATCAACCCAGGTGGCTCTATTGAGGCGGGTAGTCAAGGCGGTCTTCAGTTGTCGGTGAAGGCGTTCCACCATGCCGTTGGCGCAGGGATGATAAGCCGTGGTACGGCAATGTCTGGCTCCGAGGATGCGATTAAGGCAAGTAAACAGCGAGGACTCAAACTGACGTCCACGGTCTGTTGTCACGGTGCCAGGACAGCCAAAACGGGATACCCACGTAGAAATGAAAACGCGGGCGACTGTCTCGGCTGTGATATCTTGAATTGGAACAGCCTGTGGCCAGCGTGTGAAGCGATCGACCATGGTCAATATATAACGGTACCCCTGAGACACTGGTAGAGGGCCCACAATGTCTAGATGAACATGGTCGAAACGACGGCCGGGTGGAAGGAAAGGTTGGGGCGGCGTCTTAGTATGACGGGAGACCTTTGTCATCTGGCAGGGCAGGCACATGCGCGTCCAAGCGCGCACATCACCGTTGATTCCGGGCCAGACATAGCGCTGGGTGAGAAGACGTTGAGTAGCCCGAATGCCAGGGTGACAGATGTCGTGTAAGGAGTGGAAAACGGCGCGTCGTAATGAAGCGGGAACGAAAGGGCGGGGAAGGTCAGCTGAGACATCGCACCACAAGCGCTCAGATGATAATGGATGAGTCACCAGGCGTAGTCGGAGAGAACGGGGGTTCTCCCGAAAAGCGGCAAGCTCTCTATCATCCTGCTGTGCCGAGGAGAATGAGGCCCAGTCGATGGTTTGCGGTGGAGAGTCAACCGCGGCTATACGAGAAAGGGCATCTGCGGCGGTGTTGTCAGCTCCTTTCACGTGGCGGATGTCAGTCGTGAACTCCGATATATAAGCCAGATGGAGGAGTTCACGGGGCACGTACTTGGATGAGTTAGTGCGGAAAACATACGCCAGTGGCTTATGGTCAGTCAGCACGTAAAACGAGCATCCTTCCAGGAAATGCCGAAAGTGCTGTATTGCAGCGTAGATGGCTAGTAATTCCCGGCCAAAGACGCTGTAGCGGGTCTCAGCAGGAAGTAGCTTCCGAGAGTAAAACGACAAGGGTCTCCCCTCGGAGTTAATGCACTGCTGTAAGACGGCTCCGACGGCCACGCTGGATGCGTCCACCATCAACCGAGTAGGGGCGTTGCTGCGTGGATGAATGAGAAGCACGGCGTTAGCGGCCGCTTGCTTAGCAGCAGCAAAGGCGGCCGGGGCCTCTGACGACCAAGGAATGGTGGAGGACGGACCGGCGGTCGACCGAAGGAGGTCGGTGAGCGGTCGTAGCAGTTCGGCACAGTGTGGTATGAAGCGTCTGGAAAAATTCACAAGCCCCAGGAATTGGCGTAATTGGCGCAGTGTTGTAGGCTGTGGATAATCCTGAATTGCTTTAACGTGGGACCAGAGAGGGCGTATTCCTTTGGATGATATGTGATGGCCCAAGAACTCGAGCTCAGATGCGCCGAAAGTACAATTAGAGGCGTTCACAACGAGGTCATACTGCTGAAGACGTTGGAACAGAGCGCGTAGATGGTGCTCATGATCTTCAGGTGTGCGGCTGGCGATGAGGACATCGTCAAGGTACGCAAACACAGTAGGAAGACCCGGTATGACCTCAGAAATGAACCGCTGGAAAGTTTGAGCCGAATTGCGGAGTCCAAAAGGCATCCGCACGTATTCAAATAACCCAAAGGGCGTCGTGATGGCGGTCTTAGGTATGTCGGTGGGCTCGACAGGAATCTGGTGGTACGCCTTAACAAGGTCCACTTTGCTGAAAATTGTGCAGCCGTCGAGGCGCGATGTAAAATCCTGGATGTGAGGTAGAGGATAGCTGTCGTGGACAGTCTTGGCGTTCAACGCTCGATAGTCCCCACAAGGACGCCAGTCACCAGGATCACGCTTTGGCGCCAAATGCAGCGGGGAAGCCGAAGCGCTTGACGACGGGCGAATAATGCCGAGCTGCAGCATGTGGTCAAACTCCCGTTTAGAAATAGCTAGGCGGTCTCCGAACAGGCGGCGTGATCGAGCGGTGCCGGTGGACCCCGGGTGACGATGTGGTGTGTCACCGTATGTTTAGGCGGCTGAGTGAGGTTGCACGGTTTAGTTAACTCCGGGAAACTCGCCAAGATTTTTTCGAACGGTGAGGAAGGTATCAGCATGCGGATGGCCATTGGAGCGATGTCGGACAGGACTCCCGAGATGGAGAGACGAGTCTTACCATCTATGAGGCGGCGTCCCCGTACGCTGACGTCCAAATCGAAGTATGAGAGGAAATCCGAGCCGATGATCGGTTGAACCACGTCTGCGATGACGAAAACCCACCGG